AGAGAACATGGCCATGGGGCGAGAGCGCTCGTGTGGCACATACATGTCGTCGAAAGTACCACCCACAAGAATGGTTCCTACACAGCCAAATAATCCCAAGAGAAGCCGAAGGCCAATGATGGTACCGATTGTTTGTGCAAGTGCGAGACCAATGAACAAGATGGTGAAGCAAAAGAAGGCACCAGCGTAGATGACCTTGCGACCAACAAGCTCGCAGAAAGGAGCCAGCACCATGGGTGCAATGGCGCAGGCAATGTTGAAGGTGAAGAGACCCAGCTGACCTTGTTCAGTGCTCGCGTTCAGGTCCTTGACCATGCTCGAGATACCCGAACTGTAGGCAGTCGTTGCAAGACCAATGAACAGAGTCATCAGGTTGAGCATGGTCGAGACCATTGCCTTCTTCCACTTGCTCCATTCGTATGGGTTTTCCTTGTCTCCAGTTGCAAAATTGAGGACAACATATTCCTTGTCGTTATGGCACACAACCTCGGTCAATGTGAGAGGCATATCGATGTCTACGGTCGTTATGGCGCCGCATTCAGGGTCGATGGACTCGTTTTCCGGTGACGCGTACTTTCCTCCCACGATTCTTCCAACAATTGGGTTGCCCTTTTCGTCCCGCTGGATTTCTTTCTCGGCTTCAGCGACAGACAGAATGTCCGGTGTTGTCTCGTCCGTCTCATCGATTATAGGACTTGCCGGCCTCGACAGTGAAGGGGCTCTTGATGGGCCCCGGGAGGTTCCTGGGCGGGAAGCATAGGGACTGCCCAGCACCGGGCTCCCGGGTCTCGAAAAAGAGGCACGAGAAGGTGTGTAGTAGGAGTTAGGTCGCGATGCTGCCAGAGAGCCCGGTCTCGATGGCGGTGCGGAGAATGAGGGTAGGTAGGACGACATGATGGATGGCTTTGACCTCAGCAATAGCGGACAGATGGCAAGGACAGAGGACTTCCAAAGTGGGAATGTGAAGAGAGATGATCAAGAGGAGAAGACCTGGGGAAAGATGGGGGTGATGGCTTCTCCATATTCATTCTTATCTTGTATATATATGGCCGGAATGTTACGGCCCTGTCCCCAGTTTCCATTTCGCCTGGCCAAGGCACTTCGATCCGATGGTGCTTGTTATGGAGCACGTCGCATCGCGGCGAAAGAGGGCCTCTCAACCCATCAGCCCCGTGAGCAAATCCACTTTAGACCAAGTATTGCCCTGTCGCGGGCCGATAACGAGACTTGTCAAAGAGAAATAATACCGCGGCAGGACGTCATACACCGTAAGTTTGTCAAACACTGCGAGATTCTCGTGTGGCAAGTCGTCCAGACTGGGCCCCGCCACTGCTGCTGGGTGAGGACTCGAGTAAGTCAGAGAACAATGGAACAAATTATTGGGGCTGGGCGTCAGCAGAACCAGATTTTCCAAATGTTCCAGACTAGTAGGGCTATAACAGCGCAATTTGGTGTCAACAGACAACTCGCCTCGGTCGGTCCGGACTGACTGAGCAAAGCCTCCTCTACTGGTACTAGAAGCATGAAAGCACAGGAAGGCCTTTGGGCAGCGAAAGGCTTAATGCACATCCCAGCCTGCGGCTAGACATACCAGTACTTCGCGACAACGACTCAGGCAGCTGGCGGGCCAAGCCGAATGAGCCCAGCTGCACCTATCGGCCCTAAAATCAGCGGATCGACAGGCCATGGAAAAGGAGAAGAATGGGCACAGAAGAGGTACATACAAGCAATGTTGTAGACTTGTTTGGCTTGTTTGACTTGTTTGGCCTGTTGGTTCGCATCCCCTGGCCTGAGTGCGGTCACCATAAATGCGGCTCTGCGCAGACGGACCCACACGGGACCGCGAAGGCCCCGTCTCGGCAGTCCACCGAAAAAAAAATCCCTTATTGATAAACACCATGACGTCTTGCCGCTGAATTGTTCGGTCATCGCCCGTGCATCCCATTGCATTGTTCCTTTGGATCATGGTCCACCCAGGCTCAGAGTTTGGCCCGACGTCACCGTGGGAAACACTTTTCAGAAATATTCTAGCAAGCAGCATCGTTAGTTCTTCGGCGTTTCCAAACCACGACACCAAGACGTGGTTCCTGGAAATACTCGCAGGATGTAGTAGCCTTGAATCCTTGAGGCTCAGTGCCAGGCATCAGGTGCCCCATTGCTTCCCTGTGAGAAACGTCTCTCAAGCCAGGATCGCCCCCGCAGCCACCAGGGGTTTTGCACCGTCACTCAACAGATTTCCAACACGTGTCGAATTGTCGGCGGCTTGCAAACCCCGAGTTCGAGGCTTTGACGCGACCACCACAGAACGGACCGACATAAGACTCTGGGTCTGTCAAAGATCGCGGAATCACTTCAATTCTCGTTGTAGACCGACTCCATTCACTTCGCAAAGAAAAGCACAGAAAAGGGGCACTGAGGATCCATCAGCATTAGACGAGGACATTACATGTCGAATGATAACACATACCGCCTTTGGCTAGGAGTACCACCATGATGTTGGGCAATCTCCCAGCCACCTGGCATTACTGCCCAAAGTGTCTCGATCGGGCGGAAGTAGAGATGTTATTGTTGGTTGAAGAGTGGCATCTGGAATCGCAAATGCCATCCCGCATACATGGTCATTTCCAGGATTGCGAAGATCATGCCTGACCCAAGGCTGTAACACCGAGCGCGCCGATCCATCGGTGCGGCCAGAGTCCTTGATGTTGGCTACGCGGGAGCTATTATAAGCGACCAATCGAACTCTGCCTCTTTAGCGTCGCTTTAGCTATACGACATGGCGCATCTTCTCATCGGAGTAACCCTTGGGTGTAACGGCCTCGACCCTGGTTCGACGGTGTGCCTAATACTTGACGATGCCCTTCAGAATGCTGAAGGCATCAAGAAAAGCGTAATACTTGATAGATCCTGCTACAGGTTATCAGCAGTCCAGTCGCTGTGAAGGATTTCAAGGACGGTGCTGCCAGATCCATGAGCAGCACAAAGCTAGCAGGTACAGCTGAGCGGTCGATTGGGTTGTTCAGCTTTCAAGAATACGATCTGAGGCTATCACAGCTTCGCGAAGATCTCTTTTGCCGCCGATTCGGTTCACCAGTCGCCGAGCGTATCGCGTTGTCAAGGTGCAAAGGCTGTCATAGCTAGCATGATAAGGTGTTGTCAAAGCACTGGCCAAGAAGCGGCTCGGCTGGAGAGGAATTCAAGATAGACAAGAGGCAGCATAGCGTCGGGTCTGACTGCGGCATCTACTGGTGAAGATGTGGACGTGTGTTGTGTTGGGGTTCACGGGTATTGTCTCGAGGCAGAAAAACTACATGTGCAGTTGACGCTTGACGCGATTTGCACGGCAGCTTCCAGAACCCCCTGGCGCTCAGTGGCAGGTAGGTGCAAGGGCAACCCCGCATGACAAATGCGCGTCTGAGCCCCAGACTTGCGCCTGCCATCCCAGAGTCCTTAAGAAGCTCACGACTGCTGCCAGCCTCGAAAAGCCCTTGCGCCCACACAAGCCAACCGCCCGCCACCATTTCGTTCGACAGACCACGGCCACGATCCATCTAGCAAGAGGTAGACTATCTGCCACCTCATTTACTGCATATCAGTCACGTTCTAGGCCACAGCTCACGCAGCCATTCTGCAAGCCGCCATCGCAGCCATGGCCGTCCAGCACGTCGCAACCCACGCTGAATTCCAGTCCCTCCTCGACACGACAATGTACGTTGTCGCAGACTTCTACGCCGACTGGTGCGGTCCTTGCAAGCAGATAGCGCCCCTCTACGAGCAGTTTGCAAAGCAGTTCGCCGTCCCGGGCTACCTTGCCTTTGCCAAAGTCAACGTCGACAACAACCGTCAAACAGCTTCGCAATACGGTATCTCGGCCATGCCAACCTTTATGTTCTTCAAGAACGGCAAGCAAGTCGGCGTCAACGGCAACGCCATGATACGAGGCGCCGATGTCCAAAGCCTGCGGGGCGCGGTCGATAAGTTGGGCAACTTGGCCAAAGCTAAGCAGGCTGCTGGGGTCAAGGTCGGCGAGTAAACAGGAACACGCGTTGGGAGTCGGCAGTCAGAACATCAGACTTGGGTCTCGAACTCGAAGAAAGAGCAGGAAATACAGTGGAAGAACCGAGGTGGATTAACGCGCTGGGTTCGGCAAAGAATGAGGCCAACAGCATTCTTTGCTGGGTGCTACGCAGAAATAGCGTGCTTATTGAGTGATGATACCCTTCGCAGCTGTCGATGTGCCGGCAGAAGCGTTTCGTTCCTGCAGCACCGACCTACTATGTCCTACAATTGTTTATAGCTAGTTGCCTATGGGCAATGTCCACGGCCAGTCGCTTCTCTACCGGTTCCAGACCCGCAAATCGACATCATGACGATATGTTTTACTTTAGATACCCTTGAAGCTATTCGAAGTTGGAAATTCCGTTTTACCAAAAGGTCCACTTGATACTCATAACATGTGTTTGCAAAGTTGTTTTGAGCTCAGGCCAATGTATGCAGACTTGATTAAAGCAGATGTTGCAATGGACTGTGACTACATCTTCGTATGCCGTGGGACCCCATGAGTTACACTCAATCAAGGCAGGTCAGAAGAGAAATCAAGTATAGCCAAGAGAAATCGCAGGCACCTTGCAATACAATTCAGCTCCATGATAATGGTGGTCATCTAAGAATAGCAACAAGGAGCCAGGGCTGCCTAGAACTCATTGTAAGCGAGGCTGCACTATACGGGAGTTACCTAGTACCTGCCTAGGTAGGTACTTCAATCTTAGATACAAAATGGCGGGCGACACTGGATCTTGTAATAAAGCAGCATTGGATGACAAATAATGGTTGTTGGAAAAAAAGAAGAAAAAAATCCAGAGCGCCTCAAGGTCATTTGCAGTCTTACAGGTTCAACATTGTTGTTTACAAGTGCGACTGTGTTCGACCACGTTGAAAGATTCTCCATGGAAACCAATTGATAATCAATTTTAGAATACATGCTGTCAACAAATGAGTCAGCCCGGCTAGCTCAATTGGTAGAGCGTGAGACTTTTACAAGGTCTCCGATTCTGGAACATATGATCGTGTGATCTCAAGGCTGTGGGTTCGAGCCCCACGTCGGGCGACACTTTTGATATTTTTGAGGACTGTTCTTCCTTTTTCGCTTTTGAGTGGATCAGATTATTATTTATTGCGGCTAAGTTTCGTCTGAGAATCTTGGCCGTAAGTCGTGTATGGAAGTGGTGGTAGACGGCTGGCTAGAAATATTATGTAGGATGGAGCTAGACGTATAATACTAACAGTTTTGATTTATTTATTTAAAGTGACTCCTTGTCTTGAACGAGATGAGATTGGAAGAAAGGAGCTGAGCCCGAGCATGAACGAAACCATTCTAGACCAGTAGAGAGGAAGGAACTCGGTTTGGACATATCGTCAAGTAACATCAACAAAACACATACAGCTGCCGTTGCCCTCCTGGGTCTTCTCGTACTCCATATTGCAGCTTAGGTCCATTAAGCCCAATTATATGTATTCAGTTCTTACCTGTAGTATATCTTGGTATCTCGGTGTGTCCAAAGGGTTCAGTTCCCAGTCTTATCTTACTTGGCTTTCTCCTACCATGGAGGTGAGGAGGGTGAGGGGGCCAGTCCTTTACCCCATTTCCTTGAAACTTCTCGTGTCCTAGGGCACCATTCCCGTGATACCACTGGAGTCGAACCTTTCCATGCGATTTGCTTGGAAGGTCCTGTGAAGCATATGTCTGTAGCACGCATGCTTACGTTTTGCCATCCTGCAGTATTTATAGTGTTCAAAATTATTAACCGCAAGCGCTTGTTATACATCCAGAAAACACAGGTCTCAAAAATCTCAAACACATCAAAGTGAACTGTTGAGATCTCCTTTATCATCAATCAACACAAAAAAAACAAAAAAACAAAAAAACAAAAAAACAAAAAAACAAAAAAACAAAAAAACAAAAAACAAAAAAAAAAACCTAAACGGATATCGATACTCTTCATTTCTGCAAATGTCAGAATATACTACGTGGTCCACTTCTTGGATGGTTTCTGGTAAGACAAGACACAAGAACTCATGAAGCAAAGAAATGTTCTAATGACTAGATGCGTAGAGACTGTAGATACAAAAAGTCCTAGGAGAATCTCGACTGAAATAAGATGAGAGTGTGCCTGCGCCTTATTTATGGCAATCTGTTTCCGAACAATCACGTTATCCCAGAAACACCTCACCTTTACACCTTTACACCTTGCTCACATCATCATCAAAAGCCTTTCCTCCAGCTGCAATATCGACCGACATGGAATGCTTGAGCCCACAGACCTCAAACAACCGCACAGGCGTAATTTCCTTTGGCGTACCCACGCCACCAACCGTCTTAAGCCGGATTAGCGCATCCCGAATTGCCGTATACGCAGGCGCGAGTGTAGCAAAGCTAAAAATCATGATACGAAATCCCATCTGGCGCGCTTCCTCCACAGTGATAGCCGGGCTTGCGCCGTTCTCGACCGAGTTGTAGAGCAGCGGCCACGGCGCCAGGTCCTGCACCGCCTGTGCTGCCTGCTCCTTGGACTTGAACCCTTCAAGCAGGCCCACATCGGCGCCAATGTCGCGCGCCGCGCGCAGCCGCGCAATGCACTCATCGTACCCCAAGGACTGGAGCGCATCGGTCCGTGCAATCAGCACAAAGTCAGACTGTAGCCGCATGCGAGCCTGGTGGGCAGCTCGGATTCGCTGCAGGTATTCCTCCCGTGGGACAACCTTCTTACCGCCCAGATGGCCGCAACGCTTCATGAGAACCTGGTCTTCGAGGTGAGCGCCAGCTACCCCAGAGCGAATGTATTGCTCTACGGTGCGAGCAACCATGAGTGGGCCTGGCAGACTGTATTAGCTGCTTGACTAGGAAGAGGGGGGTGCCTGTGCTGTCGAAGCCATTTGCTGTTGATTCTTGCGCCCGCTACTCCATATTGACCATAGAAGTCCTAGTGACGTACCTCCATAGCCGGTGTCCATGTCTGCGATCAGAGGAGGACCGTACGGATCCAGCCCGGCAATCATATCAGCGTTCTCGCGCATCTCATAGAGTTGAGCAATGGCCAAGTCAGGCTGGCCGAGACGGGAGGCCGTAGTTCCGGCGCCAGTCTTGAATTGTAAAGAATGTTCGCTTAGCTTCTTGACTTCAATCAAGAGGGCTGAATGAGATAATCGAATACGACGTACCATGTACAGTGCTTGAAAGCCCAGTTCGAGCGCCGTACGTGCAGAGAGTCCATCATAGACTCCAGGACAGACAATGAGATTCTTGGTCTCGAAGATCATTCTGCGCAGCTTGGTGGCTCCAGATAGAGGCTTGCCTGGAGAGTATGTGGTTGGCGTCATTGTAAGGAACTTGGTATCGTTGGTCTTGTCGACAACGAGCTCTTCTGGAGTCAAAGGAGCTTGTGGGATGTGCTGGACCAGGACAGATTGCTTGAAAGAAGGTGATGTGTTGAACACCCTAGGCGCAAGCTCGGTGGTCTGTGAAGCCATGATTTGATAAAAAAGGCAGGATAGCTGGTTTGATATAGAAGGAATATGGGCACAGTGGCAATATTCAGATGAGAAGACACGGCTCGAAATGTAGTGTTGCAGAGATTGTTTGCATCTTCAAATTAGTGCGAGGAAAAGCCATATTTATATTCAAATGCTCGGCTACTAGACTTTCTGACAATGATATAGTCCTTCTTGTCTCCACGAAATCAGAGCGGACATCGTATAGCGAATCATAAGCCCTCAGTCTCGACTGCGCGTGGCTTGAATGATCTCATCTCAAAAATGCGCCAACAGTTCTCTATTGCCGACGTGTTATTCACTTTGAACCACGTTTACCGATTTGAAAATTTGCTACTCAAAAGGGAAGCATTGTCCACTCTCTTGCTTCAAGTGGCATGGCAATGGCATTGGCGGTACTCTTGGCTTTCTGTAAGGACCTCTCAACATGCATCATGGAGGGGGGGGGGGTGAGGTTGTTGCAGATGGCCAACAACAATCTGTATGTATTTTGCTTATCTACGGTATTTAGACAAGTTACCTTCCTGAAGGAATGTGTCCATCGTCGATCCGTGCTAGATAATGCTCTATATTGCATGGCCAGGACCAGAATATTATTTCGATAGTATGCTCTTGGCCGACTCTTTCTGGACAAACTCAATGGCAACACACCATTTCGACACTGCCCTCGCGATTACCTGCCGCTCAACACACCCGCATGAGGTCTCGCCAGACTCAGATGGCGATGGCGTGAATAATCAACGCGATCTGGTCTGGGCCATGGTCCAGAGTCAGACGCCGAGATTTGTAAGAGCCCAGCATGTGTTCTTTGGGTCTCGACACAGATTTTCTGTCTGAATGGACTATTCAGTACCCACAGAAATGTCGGACCAGCTTCCGGAGCATGAGACAAGACATATTGATCACACAGCAACACCCAATGGGGAAATACAGACGTGAATGCTCGCCGAATTCCAAGAATTAAGGTTGACCTCGCTTGAAACCATGCCTCATGACATGTATTATCCAAAGACGTCCTAGGAATTATCCCGTATATGAATGTCGGCGCAATTCAGTGATCCCATGTTTGATGGATATGAGACATCGGGTAATCTCAAATTCCAGGCCATGCTCTGCGTACTCAAGCTACAAGATGTCGTCGGGTGTTTCGAAGATGGCATTCATCAATACACTGTCTTATGAAATGGATTCGATCCGTAAATTCGAACCTGGAACTACTTGACTACTTGGTATGTCAACTCCAGAAGACACAGTTACAGCAAGTACCTCTTGACTACATATTAAACTAGCAGGCCTCCTACGGTATGTGGGGGCTGTATTCGTTAACCCATCACCAGGTTCTAGCATTATTACGTGGATCCCTTGCTAGAAGTGCAACCCTAGCAACAAACAATCGAGCATTTTAGACAGTATATGACATCGACACGTCGAAGCCAAGAGCTTGGCATATGTGTGTGAGTAGAAGACGATAACGGAAAAGAGCACTATAGAATTGACTCATTGAGTCGACTTACGAGTTGTTTGCTGAGGGATTTTGTAAACTTGCTGAAGATCCTGCATTGAAGGATCATCTTTAACAACGCACAAACAGGATATACCACATGCTATCTGCAACCTATGGAGAAATGCGTGCACTCGCTTAGTGTGTGATTAGTTTGTCCAGCCACTCTAAGGCTTCTTCCGTTGCCAACGAAATCATAAGTAGTAAGACTAGGGCTCGTTGGCCGTTCATACTGCCCTATGTTGGGCGTTCAGCGTTCCCCCAAGGACTCCAGGATTCTGTCCACTGCTCAGTAGTGAAGACACAACGGTGTCGTTATGTTGCTGCGACTCACACAAGCCCGAGAGCATGGCGGTCACAAGGAGACAATTCTGTCATGGTTGAGATTGTGAACCCGTAGAAAGAAAGGCTTGCTTGCAAAGATTGGGAACCGCTCATCGGAGTCTTGGCAGCAAGCAGGTCTGCGGCCATTGCCATGTACTGTGTAGTGGCCAGGCATTAGCCTCAAGGTGCCTCTTGGGTGGGGGCTTGTTCTCTTAAGTTCTCGTCTTGCAGCTGAGCCGCGCCTTGGTGTAAGAAAGAAGTCACATATATCATGTTTTGCAGTAGCCCACGGGAGGTCCCGCATGGCGCTAATAAATCCTTGTGGGAGGCTGCTTTCCCGCGCACAGGGACCCTGGCATTATATTCGGTGCGGGCTGCTGTACTTGTATCGTCTGCGTTGAAGGCTACATATTCCAATTTCGTGCTCTACTTGCTCACATGTGGCATAAGTGTATCTCAGTGGCTTGGCTCTCGACTACACACCCAGATACTCACGCATTGGAAGAACGCTGACCAGAGAAAGAAGAGGAGGACGACAGGGAAAGACACTCTGGATCTAGAGAGCCGCAAAGCCAGAGGTTCAACGAACTCGAAGACATGCTGGTGATGGTTCGGGTTCGGGTTTGGGGGTGCGGCTACCAATTGACATCTGGATGCTACTATACCCTGCTTGTATATCAATCTCCACATCACTCTACATAGGCTTACATCTCCGTCACAAGACCTGTTGAATC